CTCTCAAAAACCCTGGACCTTTTACCAGTCACTCTCATTCCTGTCACCTTCTCTACCCCAGACCTAGGCAGCTACTAGACTACTTTCTATCTCTATGGATTTGCATTTTCTGAATATGTCATATAAATGGAATCATATATTATGTGTTTTTTTGTTACTTATTTCTTTCACTTCGTGTAATTTTGCATGGTTCATATCATATCATGTGTCAATACTTCCTTTTAAGAATTTTTTGAAATCTTAATTTTGAGATAATGGTAGATTTACATACAGTTGAAAGAAATACTATAGTCCTCTGCATTTTTCCTCGGTTACCTACACTTATAAAATCTTGCATAACTATTGTGTAATATCACAACCAGAATATTGACATTGATATAGTCAAGATGCAGAACATTTTCACTACCACAAAGATCCCTCATGTTGTCTTATTATAGTCACATCTACCTCCCATCTACTTCTACATCCTCCTTTTTTTTTTTCCCTGAGGCGGAGTCTCGCTCTGTTGCCAGGGGTGGAGTACAATGGTGCCATCTCTGCTCATTGCAACCTATGCCTTCCAGGCTCAAGCAATTCTTCCTCAGCCTCCCTAGTAGCTGGGATTACAAGCACCCACCACCGTGCCCTGCTAATTTTTGTATTTTTAGTAAAGATGGGGTTTCACCGTGTTGGCCAGGCTGGTTTTGAACTCCTGACCTCAAATGATCTGCCCACCTCGGCCTCCGAAAGTGGTGGGATTACAGGCATGAACCACCACACCCAGCCCCTTACATCCTTCTTAACCACTGACAAGCACTATTCTGTTTTCCATGCATTTAATTTTGTCATTTAAAAAATGTTATGTGAATGAACTCTTACATATGTAACTTTTGAGATTGACTTTTTTTCAGTCAGTATGATTCTTTTAAAGTTAGTCCAGATTGTCACCTATATCAATAGTTAATTCCTTTTTACTGCTGAATAGCATTCCATGTTATTGATGCACCACAGCTTGTTCATCCATTCACCCACTGAAGGACGTTTGGGCAGTTTCTAGTTTGGGGCTATTATTATTACTATTATTTTGAAACAGGGTCTCACTCTGTCGCCCAGGTTGGAGTACAGTGGCATAATCACGGCTCTGTGCAGCCTCAAACTTCTGTGCTCAAGTAATCTTCTCACCTCAGCCTCTCAAGTAGCTGGGACCGCAAGCATGTGCTGCTATACATGGCTGATTTTTTTATTTTTATATTTTGTAGACATGGAATCAAACTAAAGACTTAGGCTTGTCTCGGACTCCTGGGCTCAAGAAATATTCTTGCCTCAACCTCCCAAAATGTTGGGATTATAGACATGACCCCCCACCCCTGCCCAGCCTGAGCTATTATTAATAAAATAGTTATGAGCTTTCCTGTACAGGTTTTCATGTGCACAGAGATGTTTACTTCTCTGGGATACATGCCTAAGAGTGCAATTACTGTGCTGTGGTTTGAATGTTTTCCCCAAAAAGCATGTAGTGGAAACTTAACCCCTAATGCAACAGCGTTGGAATGTAGGGCCTAATAATAGCTTGTTAATCCATGAGGCTGAAGTGAATGGGTTCATGCTGTTATCGTGGGAGTGGGCCCATTGTAAAAGGGGAAGTTTGGCCCCCTTTTACTGTCTCTTTCTTACTCTTTCTTTGCTCTTATGCCATGGGATGACGCAGCAAGAAGGCCTTTGCTAGATGCTAACCTCTTAATTTTGGACTTTCTAGTCTCCAGAAACTATGAGTCAATAAATTTCCGTTCATTATAAATGATCCGGTCTGTGGTAGAAAGAAATAGACTACGACATGCTGGGTCACATTGTAGCTGCATTTCTAGTTTTATAAGAAACTACCAAACTATTTTTCAGAGTGACTGTATCATTTTACATTCCCAACAACATTTGAGTGATTCAGTTTCTTCACATCCTTCACTGATTCAGTTCCTGAAATTTCTTCACATTGTTGGTGTTGTCACTGCTCTTTTAGTCATTCTGATAGCTGTGTAGTGATGTCTCATTGTTTGACTTAGGCATATATTACCTACCTCAGTGGGACTCACGTGAAGGTTCGTGTGTACAAAGTGTCTGGCACAGCTAGATAAATGTTAGCTATAATTATTACCACATACATAGAGATGACACCGTCCCTGCCATCAAAATAGTTATTATCTCATGGAAGACAAAGACGTGGAAACAAATAATGTTAATCCAGATTGCCAAATGGAGGAGTCATGATCCCAAAATTACGGGACTCCAGACTGGAGATGAGGGATGGTCAGGGAAGATGTCTCAGGAGAAGTAATCCTTAGCTAAGCCTCGAAGGAAAAGTTAGCTAAGCAACGGGAGGGCTGGCATGGATGCATTTCTGGCAGAGAGGACAGGAAGAGCATATGATATTAGCCACAGATTTAATATGGCTGTAGGTTAGGGAGGTAGCAGTGGGAATAAACCAGGGATGTAGCTGGGGAGGACATTGTGAGGGATCAAACAAGGACTTACCTGGTACAAAAAAAGAGTCTAGACTTTACCCCTAGTCATTGGAGAGCCACAGAATCCCCAACAGTGATATTTGACCAAGGTGGAGACTTTTCTTGCACCCCTTTTCTTCTAGAGATTTCTGCCCAGATGTCCACTAGAAAGGAGCTGACTTCTTCGTGGGACCCTTGGTAGGCTAGCCGCGCTCCTTTTTCCAGGGCTTCTGTTACAAAAAGCTCTTTATGTCTTAGGCATATTTACAATACCTCTCTAACCTACCACTAAAGCACAAACATGGCCATAAACAATTAATCACATCATCTCAGTTCTTATTAAGACAATAAATCCAGATTTCCATTCTTTAACTCACTGCCCCGGTGTGACCTGTATTTCCCCAGGCCTTTCACAGGCTTTCTTGCTCTTTCCTTCTTCCTTGCTCTTGTGAAATTCAGAAGGCTTTGCCCTGATAAGGAAACCTGCATTCTAGGACTGGTCTGCCATTAATTGGCTGTGTTGCCTTGGGCCAGTCTCTTTTTCCTCTGAGCCTTAATTGCCTCATCTGTATCAGGGAGTATGTTAGCCTTTAATGGTCTAACATTCTCTAAAGGTATTTGTAATAATAGGAAGGAACTCTTCTTACACTTGTAGTTTTGGATAGTTCATTCTCACACAAATGTCATGAGAACTCTAACATGATAGGTATTAGTCTCATTTTATTAAGAAAGAGGCTGTGTTTCAGAAGAATGGTCATGTGTCCAATGTCACACAGCAGTTCAAGAGCAGAGTTTGGCCTTAAACTTACTCAGTCCAATGTCTTACCACCAGACCGCACCCCCTTCTTCATCTTCTTTATTTATTTATTTATTTTGGATAAACAAGTTTATTTTTAAATTTAGTCAACATACATAATTGACCTAAAAACTTCAATAGAAGGATAAATTTTAAAACCACTTGGAAGGCCATCCCTATAAAAGTGATTTTCCCCGGAAAGTAACCAGATGTAACCTAACCCAACACCATCTTTTTTTTTTTTTTTTTTTT